CATGTCCCCAAACTCCTGCACCGCCAGCATCGATGGATTGCTCAAGCAAGAAGAAACTTCTCCTGTGTAGCCCGCTGAAAATGAGAGGTTGCATGTCATAGCAGTTGGCCCACCTTTCTACCCTGCACCCCATGGACAAAATACTCATTTCCTGTAGAAGCTTCCAAAGGCATTCGTGGGCCTGATATCCCTGGCCACTGGCCCCGGTGGAGTGAGGAGTCTGGCTCCCCAGCCACCTTCGCTAGCTCTGGTGATCTGCCACTCTGGGAACAAGAATCTGCACCCGAAGTGCAACAGCAAATCTCTATGGGGAAAACACGCACGCAAATGCATTACCACCTCATCCACAGCAGGGGCGATGTCCAAGTGTGATAGCTTCCCAGCTGACATCTACTCTAGACAATGAAATATTTCCTTTTCATGATGACCTGGACCCGTTGTTCAGTCCTATAAACGTGTCTAAAAGTCACCAGCTTCTGCCTCTGGCCCATGTCTACCTTTAGTGACAGGGCCTGGCACTCAGCAGGTGGACAGCAAATGCGAGCATCCTTCCCTTCCCACGAAGATTCCTTTTCTCTCATCTTAGTAAGTGGCCGCTGTGTGCCAGCCACCACGTCAGTACCAGGGACAAGACGGTGAGCAGCGAGACTGACATAGTCTCGCCCACAAGGAGGGTGGGCCTCCCTGCCTCCCCATCAAACTTCTCACATACACAAATGCTCCCATTTACTTAATTCTTGCATCTGCGCTAAAGACACTGAGATCTTCAGAAAGTAAATTAACGACTCCAGGCTCACCCTGGGAGAGCACTAGCCTCAGCTGGCAAGGTGAATCCGGGGTGTCAGAGGAGGACACTGGGTATGGGTGAGGCTGTGGAAAGGGGCTGGGGTATCAATGATGTGATCCACTGGGCTACCAGGCCCCTGCAGTGACAAGAGGGTATGCTGGTGGTTTTTTTCCCCAAATTTGTTCTCCAGTTATTCATCAACAAGTTTTTATTGTGCCAGACAATGGTCCAGGCACTAGGGATTCAGCAGAGAATGAAACAGACAAGGAATAAAGCAGGGTAGGAGTGAGATTACCAGAGTGAGGGGTTGCAAATTTGTAAAAGGTGACCCGGACGGCCTTTCCGAGCCATAACATTTGAGAAAATCCTGAAGGAGTGAAGGGAGCAAAGTATGCAGATCTCTGAATGAAACGCTCTGGGGAAGAAGGAACAGCAGGTGCAAAGGTCCTGAGGCAGGAATGGGTTTGGTCCTTCAAAGGATAGCATAGGGCTGCGGTGTCTGGAGTAGAGGAAATGATGGAGTGGAGAAGGAGGTGAGGTCAGGGACTAGTGGGCGACAGAGGGCAGGGCTCCCTAACGAGGCACTGGACCTGCAGCCTCTGGGGAATCTGCTTGTGCTCCCCTCCTGGCTGTGTGATGCCCCCTGCAGTGCCTAGTCTTTTCGCACAGGGTAGATCTTGTCAGTCCTTCCCAGCCCCAGTGGTTGGTGGGAAAGACCACCAACCACTGCCAACACCATTCTCGCCTATGTCCTTTTAGTAGTGGAAGCCACCCACATTGTAGATTGCTATTTCTCAGCCATTGCTGCAGCTAGGTGTGGTGTGTGACTAAGTTTGGATCGATGGGACTGTGAACAGAGTGATGAGGGGAATCTCTGAATCATGTTCTGCAAGAGGAGGCAACCTCCTCTTGAGGTGAGGATGATGGACAGTCTAGAATAAATTCTGACGAAAGCCAGAGTATGTGGCTTTGCCACAGCATCTTAGCATGTACCCAGTGTTTTCTAAACTGTCCTTTCACCCCTGAACCACGGAGCAATGACAGTTT